CTAGACACTGTCCCTCAGCTCTTCAGCTCAAAGCCAGTGCTCTACCACTTGAGCCACAGCACCATTTGGACTTTTTTCTGCTTATGTGGTGCTGAGGAATCGAACCCAGGGCCTCATTCATGCAAGGCAATCACTCTACCACTGAGCCACCTTCCCAGCCCCTAAATTCATTCTTTTAATTTCCAGAAAGGAAGCTGTTAAATTCTCCAGATTTTGGAATTTGATAGCAATTTTTATTTGGTTGCTTTATTTGCAATATTTATTTCTTGCCTCTTGAGAAGCACTAAGATGTGTGTGTGTGTGTGTGTGTATACTGGTATGCTGTTACTGGGTCTTGAACTCAATACCTCACCCTTTTGATTGACTTTTGCACTGAAGGCTAATACTCTATCACTTGAGCAGTAGCTCTACTTCTGGCTTTTTGCTGTCTAATTGTAGTAAGAGTCTCTGGGCTATATCTGTCCAGGCTGGCTTTGAACCTGTATGCTCAAATCTTAGCCTCTTGAATAGCTAGGTTTATAGCTGTGAGACATTAGTGCCTGGGAAGAAATATTTTTATATCTAGAAAATAGGAGGGCACAGAGGAACTAGGAAAGAAAGACTGTATTTCCTTAGAGTGAGAGACTAAATGTCTATATATTAAGGGAGAGAATATAGATTGGTTCTTTTTCATCTTAGTTTTTGTGCGTATACTAGGGTTTGAACTTGGGGCCTCATGCTCTTGTTGATCTTTTTTTTTTTGTCGGTCATGGGGCCTGAACTCTAGGCCTGGGCGCTGTCCCTGAACTCTTCAGCTCAATGCCAGCACTCTACCACTTGAGCCACAGCGCCACTTCGAAGTTTTTCTGCTTATGTGGTGCTGAGGAATTGAACCCAGGGCCTCATGCATGCAAGGCAAGCACTCTACCACTGAGCCACCTTCCCATCCCCGATCTTTTTATACTCATGGCTGACATTCTACCACTTGAGCCATACCACCAGTTCCAGCTTTTTGTTGGTTAATTGGAGATAAGAGTGTCTTGGGTCTGTCTGTCTCTTGAGCATCTAGAATTCCAGGTGTAAGCCACTAGTGCCTGGTTGGTTCTTCTTCACCTTTAACATAGGATGCAGATGTTGAATGAGTAGGGCTCCAGAGTTTATATATCTCTAACAAACTGTGGATGAAAATACTCTGCACTCTGTAGACTGCACTTGGAGAAGTCATCCTAGACTGGTCACTATAGTTCATTGTTGGCAGAGCTTCCATACTGTCAAAGTATCTTGCTTTCTTATCTGTCTTTCTATCTATTTGCTGGTCCTGGGGCTTGAATTCTGGGCCTGGGTACTGTCCCTGAATTTCTTTTGCTCAAGGCAAGCACTCTACCACTTTAGTTACAGCTCCATTTCTGGATTTTTTTCTGAGTGGTTTATTAGAGATAAAGAGTCTCATACACCAGGGGCTTGTGGCTCACACCTGTAATCCTAGCTACTGAGGAGGCTGAGATCTGAGGATCACGGTTCAAAGCCAGGCTGGGCAGGAAAGTCCATGGAACTCTTATCTCTAGTAAACCACCAGAAAACTGCAAGTGGCACGGTGGCTTAAGTGGTAGATTACTAGCCTTGAGCTGAAGAGTTGAGGGACAGCTCCCAGGCCCAGAGTTCAAGCCCCACAACTGACCAAAAAAAAAAAAAAAAAGTCTCATGGACTTTCTTGCCCTGGCTGGCTTCTCAGCCTCTTGAATAGCTAGGATTACAGGTATGAACCACTGGTGCCTTGTTTACTAGTGAATTTAATTAATTATTTTGTGCCAGTCCTGGGGCTTGAACTCAAGGACTGAGCACTGTCCCTGAACTTTTTCACTCATGGCTTATATTCTACCACTTGAGTCACAGCTCTACTTCTTTTTGGTGGTTAATTGGAGATAAGAGTCTCATGGACTTTCCTGTCCTGACTAGCTTCAAGCCATGATCCTTGAGCTCAGCATCCTGAGTGAGTAGCTGGTGCCTGACTTTCACTTTTTATTTTTGTTTGAAACAGGTTCTCTATGTGTAGCTCAGGGTGACCTTGAACTAGTGATTCTCCAGAGCAGGGGTATACCACTTTATCTAGCCAAAATGCCTTTTTTTCTTGTTGTTGGTTGTGGTGCTTGAACTCAGGACTTACGCACCATCCTTGAGCTCTTTTTCTCAAGGCTAGCACTCTACTACTTTGAACCACAGCTCCACTTCTGGTTTTTGAGTAGTTAATTAGAGATAAGAGTCTCATGGGGACTTTTCTGCCTGGGCTGGCTTTAAACCACGATCCTCAGATCTTAGCTTCCTGAGTAGCGAGGATTATAGGTCTGAGGCAATGGCACCCAGCTTTGGAATACATTTTTTTTTTTTTTTGCCAGTCCTAAGGCTTGAACTCTGGACCTGGTTCCTGAGCTTCTTTTTGCTCAAGGCTAGCACTCTACTACTGGAGCCACAGCGCCAGTTCTAGCCTTTTTTGTGTATGTGGTACTGGGGAATCGAATGCAGGGCTTCATACCTGTGAGGCAAGCACTCTACCACCAAGCCACATTCCCAGCCCTGGAAAACCATTTTTAAGAAAAAAAAAATCTGTCCCTGCAATTTGTGCTTATATTAGCCTGAGGCAAGCCTAGCAGGAACTTGAGTGGGGACTCGGGGGAAGGGGTAAGGTGAGCCTGTTGAGGGCCTCAGGCATGGAGGGCAGACAGAAAGGCAGAGTGTGTTCCTTGGAGGAAATAAGGTTGAAATAAAAGGAGTGATCCTTTCTGATGTGAGCAGCTTCAAACAAAGTCAGAATGGTCAGGAGTTCATAATCAAAGGGAAGAGCCTGTGGAAAAGAAAAGGAACAGTTATAGGAAGGTCCAGATAGGTGCCGGGTGGTTATCCCAGCATGTGATCTGAGTAACCTAGAGCTCCACCTACTAGGACAGTAGTTGGCAGGGTTTCAACTTTGTGGGTCATGTAGTCTCTATTGCATCTACCTAACTGTACCCCAAAGCAGCTGTATGTAGATAGCAGATATGGCAATGTGCCAATTAGAGTCTTTGTAAATGCTAGTGGAGGTGTGACTCAAACTGCAAAAGGCCCTGAGTTCAAGCCCTTGTATCAGCATACGCACCAAAATACTAAAGTGTGAAGTTGTGATTTTTTGTTTCCCAATACCTCTTTTAATTCTTTTGACTTAAGCAGGTGGAATTTGGTCCATGGCTGAGTTTGGCTAACCCCTGGCTGAGGGCCTGGATTGGGTCCAGAAGTATCTCAGTGTACAGAATCCTTTACTGTGCATTTTTTGAAACTGTATTAAGGTAGCCTGGCAATAACATTTTTCATACTCAAATGGAGAAAATGGGAGTATTTTCAAAATATTCAAAATGGAGAAATGGAGAAAATGGGAAGGTTGGGAGTATCTTTTATTAACGAAATAAAACCCACCAAAGCTCTTCTCTATGATATACACTGCTATCACAAATGTCTTCCAGATACTGGCAAGACACCTTGAGTTCACATGCCAGTGTCTCCTGTCACCTGACCCTCATAGCACCTTTCTAAGCAGTGGTGACAGGCATTGGTAATATTCCAGAGGAAGAAACTTAACATTCCCAAGGATGCTGTCCTTAACGTCAGGGGACAGTGTTGCCAGGGATTTGTGTCCAGTCTTCCATGTTCAGATATTGCTTTGGTTTTCAGTCTCCATAGGTGGCTCTCACAAATCATTTATAAATCACTTGTGGGAGTTGGCACTTTTGTCTTTAGAGAAAAAAAAGTATGGATATTAGGTCTCTTGTACACAGGTGATGAGCAGAGGTGTACTCCTGTAGTATCAGTGTGAGTTTTGAGGCTGGGTCTGTGAGAAGTAGGAAGAACAGGTAAAAATGACCTTCTTCTTTTCCTCCTCCTCCTCCTTCTTTTTTCTTCTTCCCTTTTCCCAGTCCTGGGGCTTGAATTACGGGCTTAGGCACCATCCTTGCACCTCTTTATTCTTAAGGTTAGTGCTCTACCACTCCAGCCACAGCGCCACTTCTGGCTTTTTCTGAGTAGTTTATTGCAGATAAGAGTCTTATAGATTTTCCTGCCTGTGCTGGTTTTGAATCACGACACTCAGATCTCAGCCTCCTGAGTAGCTAAGATTATAGGCATGAGCCACTGGCACTTGGCTGAAAATGATTTATTTCTCCATAAGTAGTTCTAGAAAATTCCCAAATGGTTAGTGATGTCCTATCTACCTTTCCCTGTGTGGCCATCAGGACCCAATCTCTCCTGAAACTCAGGGAACTTTTTATGCAGAGACACCTAGCCTGGAGATATGCCCTCTAGTGCCAGGACCTGTCTGAAAAGGGATCAAGGAAAAAGATGTCTTTGGCACTGACTCACTCTAGTTCTTGTTTTCTCTCTTCAACAGTCCTAGCCTCCTGGCTGGAAACTGCAGCTCCCTAGAAGTTATTCTGACCCACTGGGTTATACTGGGTTGTCTTGTAGCTGACACAATTTCTTCAGAAATTAGTTAAGTCTTGGAAGTCTGGCCAATGACTTAATGCCTCTTTTCAGGTATCTGCATCCCAGGGCTGGTGGCTGTGGCCGTGAGAGGGTTCGGAGGTATTGTTTTCTAGTAGCTGCTGCTTTTATGTTTAGTCAGATGGCTGTGGTAGAAGCCTGGGGGTTGCAGCTTCTCCTGAGTCAAGTCCCTAGTCTAGAATTAGTCTTCTTCCCTGTCCCATGTAGCATGACCCTGCCTCATCCTCTCTCCTTGTAGCACATGCGTCTTCATGTTGAGCCTGTCTTTGTCTTGTTCCTGGTGTCAGCTTGCTCTTCCCCTGGAGCGGGCCGCAGCCCAGCGAATGGTGCTGAAGGAAGACATCTTCCAAGGTTTGGTTAGGTGGGAGGGTGGGAGCTGTGCCTCTGGGAGCAGGCTGGATCTGTGAAGGAGGCAAGGAGGCTGATCTCTTCCCCATATTGGTGCTTGCGTCTGCCTGGCAGCTCCCAGGCTCCAGGAAGGCCCTTTGTCTTCTCAGGTTGGACTGGAGCACTCTCATTCCTCCATGGCTCCGGCATCGGCAGTTGGGGCTGCAAGCCAAAGGGCAGAACTTCATGCTGGAGGACTCCACCTTCTGGATCTTCGGGGGCTCCATACACTATTTCCGTGTACCTAAGGAATACTGGAGGGACCGCTTGCTTAAGATGAGAGCCTGTGGCTTGAATACCCTCACCACGTGAGTGCAATACCCCTACTCCCCAAGCCTGGCTCCCAAACGGGCTCCTAGTTGTCTACAGGAGGAAAAATGTAAGAGGGGAAGCCAGCCCAAGCCTTTTGCTAAGGTCTGCAGGGTAAGTGTTCCCCTCCCTCAGGGGCCCCACGGAACTCTTTATTAATACTGTAGGCATGAAAAGATCAACCAAATAGCAGTATTATTCAAAAGAATAGAAGCTGGATGCCAGTGGCTCATGCCTATAATTCTAGCTATTCAAGAGGCAGAGATCTGAGGGTCATGATTCAAAGCCAACCTGGGCAGAAAAGTCCCCGTGAGACTCTTATCTCCAATTAACCACTCAAAAACCAGAAGTGGAGCTGTAGCTCAGAATAGTGGAGTGCTAACCCTGAGCAAAAGAGCTCAGTGACAGTGCCCAGGCCCTGAGTTCAAGCCCCACCACCACCACCAACAAAAGAGGTAAGAATAAAGTGTATATGTAGGAAGTGATTCAGAGATCATAAATATTTATTTGTGAATGACTTGAAGGACCAATCTATTGTCTCATGATTCTAGAGACTAGATATCAGAGATCAAAGTGTGGATCTGGAGCTGTTCTAGTTGGCTTGTAGAATGCTATCTTGTCCTTACCTTTACATGGCCTTTCCAGAGTGTGCATTCCTGGTGTCTCTTCCTCTTCTTACAAGATACTACAAATGGTATTTTCACAAACAACTCCAGCCCATCTGTGCCACAGCTGTGTATAGTCGTTTTGGAGTCAGCTGCGTGAGAGGCCACCTGTCTAGAGTTTCAATATTCCTCTTTCTGAGGATCTTGGTTTATAGTCAGCCTGGGCAAGAAAGTCCATGAGACTCTTATCTCTACTAAACTGCAAAAAAAAAAAAAAAGCCAGAAGTGGACCTGTGGCTCAAGTGGTACAGAGCTAGCCTTGAGCACAAAAGCTCATGGACAGTGCTCAGGCCCAGAGTTCAAACCTCAGGGCTGACCTTTCTCCCCCCTACCCTCCCCCCCAAAAAAAGGAAAAGAAAAAAAAAGAGCTATTCTGTTGCAAACTTTGGAAATCTGTGTGCTTTAGTAAAACTATGACTGAAAGCCGAAATTTCTTTTCACCTTTTTATTTATTTATTTTCTGATGAATTCCTTTTTTCTCTCCAGTGAAAGGTAGGGGTAGAAAGCAACCTGTGGTTAAAGAGCCAGACTTTCTTCCTGTATATGTCATGTTTTACCCAAGTCTAGCTGACTGTCTTTCTTCTCCTAAGGAGATGCCCAGTCAGTCCCTTGGGACTTACCTTGGACCTCAGCTTCTCTATTACCTTCAGGTCTGTTTCCTTAATTCTCAGTTCTGGGCCAGAAGGCATTAAGAAACATACCTTCAGCCATCAGAAAAGGATTTAGGGATAAAAAGGTAATCCTGGAGGCAAAGTGAGACCAATGATAAACTCTTGTCTTTAATTATCTTTCCTTTTACAGTTATGTTCCATGGAACCTCCATGAGCCAGAAAGAGGCAAATTCAACTTCTCTGGGAACCTGGACCTTGAGTACGTGGTCTTGCTGCTTTTGTGACATGGCCTGAGCTAGGGTTGGGGAGTGGCTAGAGGTGGCTACCTGGGGTTGATGAGGAGTCCTAGACATGTCCCAGCTGAGAACTGGAAGGACTGGGGTTGGTGCCTTGTTCTCAGGATGCTGAGAGGCTCTGCCTCCAAGCCCTGGATGCTTCTGAGCCATGACCTATTTGTCACCTGGGGACTTGAGTCTGCATCCTCTGCTACCTGCTCTCCAGTAAAGCTCAGTGAACCCAAGACCCCAGGTGTTGCCCAGCTCTGTAGTGCACTTTAGCCATTTGGGCTGGGTGGGGGGCTGCTTCTGGGTCAGAAGACATCTATTCTGTACCCTGTCTGATGTCATTTGCTCACTGTGTTGGGATCAGTACAAACCACTTCCCAGAGTCTCTGGGCTCCAACCTGGTGGCACTCTAGTGCCTCCTTCCTCCAGTTTCCCTGGTTGGGAAAGAAAGGAGCCTGTAATAGCTGTGGGTTCCTCCTACACTATCTCTCCTCTTGGACCATCTGGAGGGGACTTGACTTGGTTTCCCTCCTCAGGGCTTTTATCTTGATGGCTGCAGAGATTGGGCTGTGGGTGATTCTGCGACCAGGCCCCTACATCTGCAGTGAGATCGACCTCGGGGGCTTGCCCAGGTAAGCGGGGCTAAGGGGCTGCAAAGTAACTTGAAGTGTCTCAATGCTAGTGCAGAATATTCAGAGATGTTGCTTTAGTTTCTGTTTTGAGGTACAGTTTCCATTCTGTGCTGAGCTTACTTTCCAGAATAAGTAACTCCCAGGAGGGGCCATTTTGAATGATACCAGTAACTGCCCATGCACAATCTCATTGGTTATTTTTTATCAACAACACAGAAGGCTGATCATTCTGAAACACTTTGTCCTTCTGGGCCCAATTCTGGAGTTGGGACCCCAGGCAAGTCATTGATCCCCTCTGGATCTTAGCAGCCTGTTACAAAATGGGAAAAATCAAACTTGTCCCTGTCTGTTTCTTAGGGATATTACCACTCATTTATTAAAAGTCCTAGTACTGGGAAAGTAAAAGAGAAGCTCTTGTTACTGTTTTCTTCCAATTTCCTAATGTCTGATCTTCCTAAGTGAGTCTCTTATGCTGAGTGCTCTGGGTTGCAGTAACAACCTGGGCAGGAATCAGTCAGTTAGGACCATTCATCTTGTTACTGCCTTTACTTTCAGTAAAAAGATTCTCTCCTTAACGGTATAAGCTCTCTAACCTCACTCTGTCCCCAGTGTTAGTCCCAGCCTCCTCATTCCTTGCTGCCCCAGGAGGAAAGAAGACTGAGCCTGTTGGCCCCAAGGTCTCCCAGGAAACTGTCTCTGCACAACACAAACACTGAGCCCTGGCCTCGTTTCCTCTCTGTTTCCAGCTCTACTCACTCTTCCCTAAGGAGAGCCTTCTCTCTCCATCTCTCAGTATCCAGGATCAGGCCTCTGAGCTGGCTGAGAACACAGCCAGAGTGTCTGCCCCCTCCCTGGGGATTAGAAATCTGCACCTGGTCAGCTTTTTCCTAGGGGCTCAGCTGGAGCAGGGCACCAGAGGACAACAGGGTTTAACATTCTTAACTTAGAAGCAGCAGCGACTTTTCTCTGAGATTTCCCTGCAGGGGGCACCTGCCAATTCATGAGGGGCCCACTGGGCTTAGACCCCAGGAGGAGCTCTAGGCCTGTATGATGCCTCCTTCCTTGTGAAAGCCAGGTAGACCCTGCCTCCCTTTCCGTTGTGTACCACGTATACTGACCATGTTCTGGGCTTCCAAATCAGGCAGAAGGTGCAGAGGCTTTTTTTCTCACAGCTTCACCAGAGAAAGAAGGTCTCAACTTCCAGCTTTGGAACTATTCTATGATGCTGTGTTCCTCTGAGAATTGGTACTCACACCATAGAGTGGGGAGAGACTTTCCCAGGCTCTCCTGTGGCTATTTGTAGGCAGAGTTTTGAAGGCCCAGGGCTGCTCCTGCAAGTAAGTCCCCCAGCCAGCCAGTCAGTCTCTGGGTCAGGTTCATTTTTCTGAGTAACTTGGGAAGGATGTGTTTGGGTCTTTTCTAGTCCAGTTCCAGTGATTCCTACCCATTTTTTATTTTTATTTTTCTAGTCCTGGGGCTTGATCTCAGTCTAGGCACTGTCAGTAACCTTTTCTTTTCTTCCTTTTTCCTCAAGTCTAGTCCTCTACCACTTGAGCCACAGCTCCACTTCTGTTTTCTGTTTTTGTTTTTGTGTGTGGTTAAGTGGAGATAAGAGTCACATACACTTTCCTGCTTGGGCTGGCTTTGAACCATAATCCTCAGATCTCAGCCTCTTAAGTAGCTAGGATTACAGATGTGAGCCACCAGTGTTTGGCTTTGTTTTTTATTTCTTTTTGTTTTTCTTTTTGACACAGAGAGACTAGACTGTATGGTAAAACCCAGACTGGCTTCAGACTTGTTTTTCTCCTGCCTCTGATTCCTGAGTGCTGGATTTTTTTAGATGAATCTTCTCACCCAGCTTGGCATCACCTTTTTGTGAAGGGATTACATTATAAATGAGTGAGAAATGGGCCTTGAGTCCAGGGCAAAGCGTTTCCCACTGCCTGACAGTAATAGAGCCTGTAGCCAGGAAGCTGGTAATGGACTTGCTAGGGCTGAATTCTGTGGGTTAGGAAACAGACATTGTGGGCTGGCACTGTGGCATTCTCATTTCCGAATCAGTTGCCTTGTTTCTGGACTTGGGACTGGTCTCCAGTCTCATGCTACAATTTTATGAAGTTGCTTCCTTCTCCATGTGCTGTTACCTGGCCTGAGGTCAACCCAAAGACCCGGATGCTAATGCCCCCCTTTCTTCCTTTTATCTTCAAGCTGGCTACTCCAAGATCCTAGCATGAAGCTGAGAACAACTTACAAGGGCTTCACAGAAGCAGTAGACCTCTACTTTGATCACCTGATGTCCAGGGTAGTCCCACTCCAGGTAACAGCAAAGGACTTTTTGATCTTCATTTGTCTTCTTCTAGGTAGAAGGTATCCTAACCTTGCCTAGGTTAACGCTCAGATAAGAGCCATGTAGTTCTTTTCAACACGGGAATATACTCTTCCTTACTGCCTGAGATTTAGAGTTAGAATTGGGCAAGCTTATAGCAGTTGCTGCTTCAAAGAGCTATGCATTTCAGTGTGATCTCAGCCAGTGCTAAAAGGGCAGATAGCGCACTCACATTGCTCCATGTGGTCCCAGAGCTCCCACTGGAGATAAGTGGATAGGAATCTTGATAACTGAAAACATTCATTTACCACTGTCTCAGTAGTTTAGTGGTTTGATTCTGCGCAGAGCAGAGCATAGACCAACAGGCCACGGAGAGGACAATAGAAGCTTTGTAATGATTTTTAAGGTACTTCTCTCTGTGACTAATAGATGCTGCATAATACCCATTTGCTGCAATCTGATGGGTTCAAAGCCAGCCCAAGCAGAAAAGTCTGTGAAAATATAGAAGTGCAGATATGGCTCAAGTAATAGAGTTCCAGCCTTGAGTGAAAATGCTAAGGAGGAGTGCTCTGATCCCTAGTTCAAGCCCCAGCACCAGAACCAAAACTCACCCCCCACCAAAAAAAACACAAAAAACAAAACAAAATGAAACCAAAACCAACCCCAAATGAATGTTAAAATAAATGGGAGAAAGTATCTCAGTATGTTATGTAATAATTGGAAGCAACAAAAGCAGGAATTAGAATAATTAATCTAGTTACTTATGTAAAAATTAGCACATCAATAAAAATTGTACATCAATGAAAAATTGCTCTTGAGTTAATTGTTTGGAACCCTCATAGCACACATAAACCAAAGTGAACTACTGCCAGATAAAACAAAGGATAGCCAGTTAAATTTGAATTTCAGATAAGTGGGGAATAACTTTTAGTTATAACTGTACTCCAAATATTATATTAGCCCTACTTACACTAAAAATTATTCATTATAAATTTAAATGTAACTGGGTGCCTTTATTTTCTAAAATTGGCAGATCTAATTATTAAAGAAGCAAGCTATCAGTACAGAACTACTCTAGTACCAAACTTCTCATAGCCAGGTGCCAGTGGCTCATGCCTGTAATCCTAAGTACTCAGGTTAGGTTCTGAGAATCAGAGTTTGAAGCCAGCCCAGCAGGAAAGTCCATGAGACTCTTTTTTTTTTTTCTTTGTGGGTCATGGGGCTTGAACTCTGGGCCTGGGCGCTGTCCCTCAGCTCTTCAGCTCAAAGCGAGCACTCTACCACTTGAGCTACAGCGCCACTTCCGGTTTTTTTCTTTTTGCTTATGTGGTGCTGAGGAATTGAACCCAGGGCCTCATGCACGCAAGGCAAGTGCTCTACCGCTGAGCCACCTTCTCAGCCCGGCACAATGTTTTTAAGGTTCATCCATGGTGCAGCATGTGTTAGAATTTTCTTTTCTTTTTGGTGATAGGCCGGGGGTTTGAACTGAGGGCTTGGGCACTGTACCTCAGCTTCTTTTTGCTCAGGGTATATCACTTGAGCCACAGCTCCACTTCTGGCTGTTTTTGTTAGGTAATTGGAGATAAGAGTTTTGAACCACAATCCTCAGATCTCAGCATCCTGAGTAAGAATGAGCCAGACATATGAGCCAGATGTGAGCGCCTGGCTTGAATTTCTTTTCTTTTTAGGCTGACTAATATTCTGGTATATGTATGCACTACTTTCTGTTTATTCACTGCTCCACTGATGGACCTTTGGATTGTTTCTGCATTTGGTGCCTGTGAATAATCTGTTAGAGATGTGGTGTATAAATACCTGTTTGAATCCCTACTTCACTTCTGGGTTTACAAATAGAGCTGAAATTGCAGGAACAAATTATAAAAGTTATATGTGTGTGTGTGTGTGTGTGTGTGTGTGTGTGTGCATCTATATGTAGGTGTGTGTATTTTTTTCCTGAGTAATGGTTATACTATTTTGTATAGAAGTTGCACCATTTGTATTCTCCTCAGCAATATACGCGAGTTTCCATTTCTCCATATCTTTGCTGATGCTTGCTATTTTCTGTTCATTTGGTAAGAACCATCTGAATGGATATAAAGTGGCATCCCTTTGTGTTTTTGATTTGTATTTCTCTAGGCATGAGTTGTGGAATTGGACATCTTTTTCTGTGCTTATGGCTGTTTATTATCTTTGAAGAAATGTTTATAGAAATTCCATTGACTCTGTAAAGTTAGGTTGGGTAGTATTGACAACATTGAATCTTCCAAATCCATAAACACCAGATGTCTTAACTTTATTGGTATCTTCTTTACTTTCTTTTAACATCATTTTGTCATTTCCAGTGTCTAGCCATTTCATTTTCTTGATTAAATTTATTTTTATTTTATTCCTTTTGGAATTGTTTATTAGTAGTCTATAGAAGTAGAGTGGATTCTTGTATATCAGTCAACTGATGCAGAAAACTTGAGCTACCCTTTGTCTTTTCTTTATCAATTGAAATCATACCTTTTCCCCTTAATTAAAAAATGCAGTTTATCACATTGATTTTTTTTGAATATAGAACCAACCTTGCATTCTAGGAATCCCATTTATTCAAGGTGTATAATCCTTTGCAAATATTGTCAAATTCAAATTTCTAGTATTTTGTTGAGGATTTTTGCATCAGTATTCATCATAGATAATTTGTCTCTAGTTTTATTTTTTTGTAGTTCTTTTTTTCCTCTTTTCCTGGTTTGGTAAAGAATAAGAAAAGAAATGTTTTTCTTCACTTGTAGGAGAATTTAAGAAGAATCAGAGTTAGTTCTTCTTTAAGTAATTGATTGAGAAGCAGATATGATTATGTATATCAGCAATTCCAGCATTTGGGAGGCTGAAGGAGGAGGATTGAAGGCAGTCTGAACTACATATGTAGTGAGACCTTGTTTTAAAAATATGCATGTATATGGCAAAATTTATTCATGAAACATCTGGTGCTGAGTTTCTCTTTGGAGATTTTTGATGACTGATTCAGCCTTTTTATTAGTTTTAGGTCTATTAGATTTCTTTTTCTTCATGACTTAAGTCTTGGTACATCATATTTCTAGGAATTAATCTGTTTTGTCTATGGTTATTCAATTTGTTTGTATAAGTTATTCAAACTCATAAACCTTATTATGTCTGTAAAACCAGCAGTAATTTCTTCCTGTTTGGTATTGGTTAGTTAGGTTTTCTCTCTAGTTTATTTTTTTAAAGTTATCTTTAAGTAGGTGTACAAAGGAATTGCCATTTAACAAAGCAGTTGATGAATACAGTGTGTCTCCATCAATGTCACTCTTTTGAACATTCTCAACCATCACTCCCCTACCTACCCCTTCCCTCACTCGTCCTCTTGTTTAAATTTAATTTTATTGTCTAGGTGATGTACAGAGGGGTTACAGTTACATATATAAGGTAATGAGTACATTTCTTGTTGAACTTGTTACCCTTTCCCTCATTCTCACTCTTCTTAATTTTGTAGGATATACACTGTATTCTTGTCTGCATTTTCCCTGTCTTCTCCTCTTGATTTCAGTAGTCAGGTTAGCTAAAGGTTTTTTTTGTCATTTTTGTAGTTCTTTTCAAAGACTCAGATCTTAGATTTGTCAAATATTCTTAATTTGTTCTTAAAATAAATCTCTGTTCTAATTCCTTCTGTAACGTTAATTTAGTTTTTTCCTTTTTCTAGTTTTTGAAGGTATAAAGTTAGGTTGTTGATTTGAGACCTGCTCTTTTAAAAGTGTTTACACTTCTTTTTAAAATATTTTTATTGTAAAGATACTATACAGAGGGGTTACAGTTACATGAGCAAGGTAATGAGTCCATTTCCTATGGAGCCTTGTTACCCCCTCCTTTGTTTTTCCCCTACCATCCCTTTCCACACCACCTCCCCAACTCCTCCCCCCACCCCCTGCAAAGTTGTAAAGTTCATTTTCAACATAGTGTCTTGTACATCTCATTGTTACAGTGGATCATCCTGTAACCTTATTTCAGCATTTTGTTATTTTTCTTCTTTTCCTCAAATTAGAAAAATGTCTAAACAAGATGCAGGACACCAAAATCAAATACAGTGACAAGCATTTTCTTAGCACTTTAATGGTATCTCATAGTTTGTTTTTATTCTTATTTGTCTCATTCTTATTTTCTAATTCCTTTGTGATTTCTTCATGAGCTGTAGATTAAGAGATTGTTGTTTAAATTTCTATGTTTTTGTGGTTTGTCCCATTTTCTTTTGTTGTTTAATGGTTCCTACTTCATTCCATTGTTACTGGAAAGGTATTTTTGTATGATTTTGGTCTTATAAAATTTTATAATTTATTTTGTGGCCTAATATTGGAGAATGTTCCATGTGCCCAGAAAAAAAATGTGTATTGTGCTCTCAAGGGTGTAGTTTTTGTTTTTGTTTTTACAGTCGTGGGGCCTGAACTCTGGGCCTGGATGCTGTCCCTCATCTCTTCAGCTCAAGGCTAGTGCTCTACCACTTGAGCCACAGCACCACTTCAGTTTTTTTCCTGCTTATGTGGTGCTGAGGAATTGAATCCAGGGCCACATGCTTGGGAGACAAGCACTCTACCACTGAGCCAACTTCCTAGCCTGTAATTTTTTTTTTTTTTTGTGGGGCTTGAACTCTGGGCCTGGGAGCTGTCCCTGAGCTCTTCAGCTCAAGATACCACTTGAGTTCTACCACTTCAGCTACTTCTGGTTTTCTGGTGGTTAATTGGAGATAAGAGTCTCATGGACTTTCCTGCTGGGCTGGCTTTGAACTGCAATCCTCAGATCTCAGCCTCCAGGGTAGCTAGGATTATAGGCATGAGCCACAGGCTGGATTGGGTGTAGTGTTTTATATATATATATATAGCTTTTAGAGTCAACTGGTCTGTAGTGTTGTCTAAATCGTCTTTCTTTTTATTGATTTTATGTTGGCTTGTTCTTCCATTATTAATAGTGAAATGCTGAGTCTGCTGCTATTATTGTAGAGCTTCAGTCCTATTAGTGCTTGGTTCACATAGATTGGAGCCCTAATGTTTGGTACATCTATATTTAAAATTGTTATATATTTTTGGTGAATTGACTCTTTTATAATTATGTATAATAAAATATATACGTAATGTATAGCATAAAATTATAGTATATAATTATGTAAGTATAAGATATAATTATAACATAATATGGAATTAATTATAATATACAATTATATAACATAATACATAGTTTATAATCTATTAGATACATACAAATATGTAATTATATAATTTCATAATAGTTTACATTATATATTTTGTATGTTTATATTTATATTTTTCATTATATATTATATACATGATTTATACATATAATGTTATATATATTATATAATATCCTTATTTCTTGTAAAAGTTTTTGACCTACATTCTATTTTGTTTGCTATTAGTAAGGTTACTTCAACTCTCTTCTGGTTATTAATTGTGTTGAATATTTTTCTGTCTTGTCACTTTCAGTCTATGTGTATGTAAATATTTTTGGCTCTGCCAAGAGCGTTCTATAGACTTCATCTAGTTGGATATTATTTTCCTTTTTTCCCATTCTGCTAATGTATGTCTTTTGATTGAGGAGTCGACTTCATTTACATTGAAAGTAATTACTGATAAGGAACATGCTTCTCATTGTGTTTATTTTCTATATCTTTCAGCTTTTTCTCTCATATTTTGACCATTACGAACTTCCTATATATCTAGTTGATTATTTTTTATAGTGACACTTTTATGGTAATTTTAAAATTTAATTTTATGTATTATTATGATTCCAATGATAATAAATAAAATGTTCTAAAGTTGTGACACCCTGTCTTAAATCAACATAAAATTGATGTTTATTGCATACAAAACTCTACTCCTAAACCAGGTGCCAGTGGCTCACACCTGTAATTTGAGCTATTCAGAAGGCTGAGATCTGAAGATTGTGGTTCTGAGTCAGCCCAGACAGACAAATCCTAGAGATTCTTAGCTCCAGTTAATGAGCAAAACACTGGAGGTAGAGCTGTGGCTCAAGTATTAGAGTGTGAGCTTTGAGCAAAAAGCTAAGTGAGAGTGTGAAGACCTAGTCTGAGCCCAAGTTCTGGCACATAAACAAAACAAAACTAAACAAAATCTTCCCTTTTAGTTTGGTTCCCCACTTTATTGGTGTCAAATTACACCTTTGTATATAATGTACCAGATTCTTTTATGTCTTTAAAATATTACAGTAATAAGTGTCATTGTAAACTAAACTATTAATAATACTGTTTTGTATATTTTTTCTTTTCTTTTATTTTATTTGTGAAGATACTGTACAGAGGGGTTACAATTACATGGGCAGGATAATGCATACATTTCTTACCAAGCATTGCAGCCTCCTCCTTTTGTTTACCCTTCACATCCCTTCGCAGCCTCCCCCCTCCCCCACAATTTGTCTTCACTGGAGAACAGTATTTTATATGGCTTCAGGTTACTATCTATCATCCTTTTATTTCGGCTTGAAATACAATTGCAGAGCAAGTTCAGTGGTAATAAATTGCCTTTGCTTTTCTTTGGGAATGTCTTAATTTCTTTGTAAGTTTTGAATGACAGTTTTGTTAGATACAGAATTCTCAGTTGACTTTTTTTTCTTCAGTACTCTTCATATATTGTTTCCTTGCCTTCTTCAGGCTGCAAAGATCCTTCCTATAGGAGAAGGTACTTTTTCCTTTTTTTAAAAATGTTTTTTAATTGTAAAAATAGTGTACAGAGAGGTTACAGTTACATGAGAAAGGTAATGAGCACATTTCCTATTGAGCATTGTTTCTTCCTGCTTCATCTTTCCCCTACCAGCCCTTCCCTCCCACCTCCACAACTCCTCCCTCCCTTCCCCCCACAAGTTGTAAAGTTCGTTTTCAACATAGTGTCTTGTACATCTTATTGTTACGAGTCAACCTGTATCCCTATTTAAGCATTTTGTTTTTTCCCTTCCCCTCCCCAAATTAGAAAAGTGTATATACAAGATGCAGGGCACCGGAATCAAGTACAGTGAAAACAGGGGTTATACCGTGGGGGAGGAACATAGCAAAGAAACAAAAAAAATTACATAGTACATTACAAATATGTTAAAAACAATAGCAAGAAAGTAAAGAACCCCTGTATTGGGGTTAATTTCACTTAACATCATCTTATATGTACATATGGTCATATGTACATAACTTTTGACCTTTTCTGCTTGTCCTAGACATATACTAGTTATTGTAGATAATGGAAACCATTGGACCTATGTTTCTTTGGGCCTGGCTTACTTCACTTAAAAAATTAAAAATTATATTTTTTCCAAGTCTTTGCATTTCTTAACAAATGGGGTGATGCCATTCTTTCTGATGGAAGCATAGAATTCCATTGTGTGTGTGTGTGTGTGTGCGTGTGTGTATGTCATACACACACACACACAAACACACACACACACATATATATATATATATACATATATATATATGTATATATCACAGTTTCTAGATCCATTCATCTACTGAGGGGCATCTGGGTTGGATCCATATCTTAGCTATGGTAAATAATGCTGTGATAAACATAGTTGTGCTGGTAGCTTTAGTATAGCCTTGTTTGTGATCGTCTGGGTAAATGAGAAGGCACTTCTACTTTTAAGTATTTCTTTGTATTTTAACAGTTTGAGTATATAACATGTTTCTCTGTAGCTGTCTAGAATATTATATGTGGAGTTTTTTGAGCTTCGGAATTTTGAATATTGATGTCTTTTCCCAAATTGGAAATACTTTCAGCCATTATTTTACTTTGTGTGTGTGTGTGTCTGTCTTGGGGCTTGAACTCAGGGCCTGGGTTCAGTATCACTCTACCACTTGAGCCCCAGTTCTACTTCTGGCTTTTTTTTGGTAGTTTAGTGGAGATAAGAGTCTCACAGTCTTTCCTGTCTGGGCTGGCTTTGAGATCTCATCCTCCTGAATAGTTAGGATTATAGGTGTGAGCCACTGACACCTATTTTACTTTTTTAATTTTATTTTTAGATAGTCTTGCTATATAGTCTGGGCCTTGAACTAGCAGTCCTCCTGCATCAGCCTCTCAAGTGCTAGGATTACAAGAGTGTACACCAGATTAGCCATTACCCAATAATCTCTCTACATCTTTGATCTCTTTTGGGAATCCCCAGAATGAGTATATTGGTCTGATTAATTGTGTATAAGCACCTTGGGTTCGATGAATTTTGGGTTCATTGATTTTTCTTTTATCTCCTCTGGCTAGATAATTTCAAATGATGTGTTTTCAAGTTCACTTATTCTTCATTCTGGCTGTATGAATCTGCTGTTAAATTTTTCTAATACATTTTTTCTTTAGATATTCAACTTTTCAGCCCCAGACTTCCCATTTTATTAAAAATTAGTTTCCCTTTGCTTATAACCTCATTTTGTTCATGTATCTTTTTCATTTTTGGTCTGGCTCTTTGCTTTTTCTCCAGCTCCTTGAACTTTGGACAATTGTTGTGAAGTCTTGGTTTATTTAAGGGTGAAGTGTATTTGTATGTGTGTTTAAACATTTCTGGAGATTTCAATAAGCCATATTTGCCTATTTTTTGAATGTTTTGTTTTTGCTGAATTTTGGACATTTGAGAACACAATGATCTCCCTCAGTCTTTGCAGACTGGCAGGAAAGACTTCACTAATTAATGAGCTTCTGAACCTGGAGATCATACCAGGGTAAAGATGTAATATCTCAGATACTCTCTAGGCATTTAAATTACATGCACCTATGTGTGTGCTTCCCTCCCTGTCCTATGGCTTGTCTCAGGACTACTTCTTACTGGCCATTTTGTCATATTCTTTGGTCCATAATTCCTTTTCCCAGGCATTCACAAGTTTGTAGTTTTCTGCATTTTTCACATACTGTAGCATCTGATACTGCCTTCTGCCTCAAGTCTCCTGTTGTTTCTTATCTGAGCTACAAGTCAGATGAGACAGAAACCAGTCTACTGGTTGCATTTTGCATCTTCCATCCTGGGAATCTGAGACACTTTCTCCCAACCTTATTGTGCCACACTGATGAGAATTGAGAGCAAAGGAGTAAAAACATCACAGAACTCCCTACTATCTCACATATGGTGGTTTCTGGATTGGGTGGTCTGTGGTGTGATTAGATCTTTGGCTTGTTTCTCAAGTTTCCATAAAGTTAACTCTTCAGTCTGAGGTTTGTTCATATGATGTTTCTATGGGAGGCACAGGTCTGATGCACCCTGCTCCACTATCTTGATGATGTTGCTCTGAAACCTTTTGAGACTCTGCTTTTCATGTGAGATATGGTGCTAGTAATTTGTGACCATATGATGTCACTAACTGAGATAAATTTAGACCGCATGTTGCCCACTACTAACTCAACTTCTGATTGTTCATATCTTCCTCAGTACAAGCACGGAGGACCCATCATTGCTGTGCAAGTGGAGAATGAATATGGTTCTTATAACAAAGACCCTGCCTACATGCCTTACATCAAGAAGGTGAGTGTGAGCCCAGCCCACTACTTCACATTCCTTCCTCTTAGACCCACATGTCACAGCTTATAATACTTTCTATGGCATGTTTCCTAACATTATTTTTTAATTAGTTTTTCTCCATTGTTACAAGTTTTTCTCCATCATGTTATTCTCATAGGTTTGCCTCTTATTTACCACTTAGGAACTGAGTTTAATCTGGGGTGTAGTAAGGGCTGAGAATAAAGGAGTGGATGAAGCTGTCTTAAAAAGTCTTCCTCCTCTCATGATTCCCAAAGTGGCTGCACAGCATCCTATGCTCCCGCCAGTGACTACAGTGATTGTGAGAATCTCTGAGCCAGTACTCAGAGCTCTAATTGCAATGTGTGCCCAAGCTTAAGAACTACTGATCTAATACATGGTACATCAGAGGGCAGCAGGGCTAGACTGACACAACCAAGTTTAACATTCACATGTGCTTTCTTTCACTTGACAGCTTAAGACTTTAAACAGATGCCTTGATTATTTTCCCTAAGCCTCTTTTCTTGTCCTCTACAAAAAATGGAACTAAAAAGAGTATCTGCTTTTCTGAATTATATTGTGGGAGGTCATGTGGCCCTCAGTACTGTCGCAAGTATATAGTAGGTGCAAATAAATGACTTTGATAGAATTATTATTTGGTTTGGCCATGGTGTGAATTAAGGAATATTAAAATGCTGCTGTGAATCTTTCTCATTCAATCCATTAGTTGTCTTTGGCCCTTGATGGCCAGGGAATCACCTCCTGCTGTCACACACAGACTTCTTTTCCATTGGAGGTTACTTCCATTCTTGTAGATTGCAGACCAGACTCAAGCACTCTGATTGGCTGCCTGCTGGCCCTGCCTCCTTCTGACCTGTAGAAAGCTCTCAGGGGAGAGTACAGGCTGTGTCTGGGCAGGGAGGCATTCCTCACGCTGGAAAGAGGCAAGTAGCCTGGATAGCACTCATATCTAGCTTCCTCTTCATCCTTGACTGTACCTAGAAAAACTTAACTGTAGGCTTAGGATTTGTGGGTTTCTCCTGCTATGCCTAGTTCCCACTGCAGATTATTTCTGGGGCCCTAGGGCTCTTCAGAGGTTGTTTACTTAATGATGCAGCTGTAGTGGAGGACTCAAGCAGCAGATGAAGAGAATAGCTCCTTGGGGAACATCTTCTCTGCCATACTTCTTTCGTATCCAGCAATCAGCCCTGCCATCCTGAAGCTTCTGGGAGCACCCCTGCTGAACTGCCTGAAGGCAGGAGGGAGCAAAAATGTGGACCCCATCAGCATTGAGTGGCCTTGGGCAGAGCATTGAGTGGCCTTGGGCAGGTCCCCTCACCTTTCTGAGCCTTTGTTTCATAGTGTACAGAATGGAGAAAAGAATGCCCCCTCTTTTTTTTTTGCCAGTCGTGGGTCTTGAACTCTGGGCCTGGGCACTGTCCCTCACCTTTTCCGCTCAAGGTGAGCACTCTACCAATTGAGCCACAGTGCCACTTCCAGTTTTCTGAGTGATGTATTAGAGATAAGGGTCTCATAGACTTTCCTGACTGGGCTGGCTTTGAACCAGATCCTCAGATCTCAGCCTTCTGAGTAGCTAGGGTTATAGGTGTGAACCACCAGTGCCTGGCAAGAATGCCTTTTTAAAGACTGTTAGGAGGGAGTGTGAAATAAGACACAGAGCCCCTAACTGTGCTTGGCAGGCACTCAGGAAACAGTAATTGTCTCACACAGAGTGAAAAGTTAAGCAGATGCAAATATGGTGGGAACCTAAGTAAATGTTATATGTCAGTGAATGACTATTGAAGCAGTCCAGGGCTTTGATAAAGATCTCACCTCTGTAGGAGAGTACATTCTCTAACCTCTGTCATCCCCAAGAATTACAGCATTGACTGCTCTGTCCTTACTGGCACTCGGGATTTGACACATGTATGCACCTACCAGATGATCTCTGCCTCCCCTATTTCCACAAGAACTAAATTGAAATAAACAACCTTGTCATAATATCTGTAGGGACAGTTTTTGGGAAATCACCTTTGTAGGGATACCTGAGCTTAAGAAGCTCAAAGCTTCAGGGGGCATCTTTGCAGGTGGACAGATTCTGAGTTCTGCCCAAACTCTCTTATTATTTCTGTGATCTATGGGGAATGAAATACCTGGATTGGGAAGATGAAATAAGGAGAATCTTTGAGTGCTTAACACTATAGTTGATGCTGTGAAGTTATCAGTGGTTATTCTGAGTGATAACATTGTGTGAAAGTGTGCCGCTTCCCGAGAACTTCTGCACTGCTGCCACGGGCAGTGCATCAAGACCATGTTATGGCCCTGCCCAAGACCAAGCCCTCACTGGCTCAGCGTAGGGTAGACAGGAGGCTGTGATGGTGTCTTGGATGCCTGATACACTCACTGAAGCTCAGCAGGTATTTTCTTTTGTCAGTTGTGGGGCCTGAACTCTGGGCCTGGGTGCTGTCCCTCAGCTCTCCAGCTCAAGGCTATAGTGCTCTACCACTTAAGCCACAGTGCCACTTCCGGCTTTTTCTGCTTATGTGGTGCTGAGGAATAGAACCCAGGGCCTTGTGCATGCAAGACAAGTGCTCTACCACTGAGCCACCTCAGCAGGTATTTTTCAGGTGACAATATGGCAGCTTCTTCCTGAGCCAGCCTGTTGTAGGCCTGGCTAGGAACTATAACTGGCTTATCAGCTCTGTGCTCTGCTGAAGAGGAAAGAGCTAGAGCTTTACCGAGCTTTGCTGAGGATGGGTGGCTGCAGACCAGGTGCAAGAGAAATGTTTTAGCTAGATTCTCCCTCTTGTTCTTCAGGCTGCCCCAGTTGCAGAGCATGCTGTTGTAAAAACTTGGAAAAAATGAGGACAGACTTTAACTTTTCTTTGATTCTCACCCCCCCCCCTTACCTCCCAGGCCTTGGAGAACCGTGGTATCATAGAGCTGCTCTTCACTTCAGACAACAAGGATGGCTTGATGAAGGGAGTGGTCCAGGGAGGTAACTACCAGGAGGCTGTGTGGGTGGCCCCACTGTGCATGTCCGCCAGGCAGGCCTGAGACACAAGCAGGAGTTTCCCTGCTCTCTGTTATTTCCTATGTGCAGGGTACCTGGCTAGGAGCTCTGGGCTGCATGGATCAGATGGCTTATGCCACCCTCCATTACCCCTTCCTTCCTTCCTTCCTCTTTCTTTCTCGCTCTCCTTCCTTCCTTCCTTCCTTCCTTCCTTCCTTCCTTTCTTTCTTTTTTCTTTCTTTCTTTCTTTCTTTCTTTCTTTCTTTCTTTCTTTCTTTCTTTCTTTCTTTCTTTCTTTCTTTCTTTCTTTCTCCTCCTCCTTCTTCTTTTAGCAAATGAATTACAAAAGGGCTTCTAAAGAGCTCAGTTGGTCAGCTGTTCCTGCTCCCTGTCCTATTGACCATGCAGGGCACTGCCAGCTCTCTGCTGATGCTACCCAGCTTTGGGCTTCCTCTTATCAGCAAACTGCAGGTCCATTTCCCTTCAATGACACAGTCCAAACCTTGTGGTCACTTTCAGCCCCTGTGCTCCTGGCACACAGCTATTGTTCCTTTTATCATTAGCTTTCTAATGAAAATTCAACCAAACCGAAATATACTCCCCACCCCTGTTGCTGTTGTGGTGCCCTTGTGTTTTGTAGTATCATTTAACTAGCATCTTTTTTTCCTCATGCATTCCTCTAACACCTCCCTCCTTCCCTCCTTGCCTCCCTCCCTCCCTCCCTCCTGCCCTCCCTGGATTCCTGGCTGTTCCTAAATCTACGGAGCACTGCTGCCTGGGGAACTTTGCACTCATTGCACAGAGCTATATGGCTGTCCTTGCAGGTCATCTTTACAGTGATGCTTTCTCTGAGCACCTGTCTAAAATTGCATCCTGCACTCTAGGCTCTCCAGCTCTTCTCTGCCCTGTTTTGCCTTCTAAGCTTTGAAGCCATTTGTTTGCTTGTCAGACTTGGCAAGCTTTGAGCTCCCCAAGGACAGAGGTCTGAAGTTGCAGTACCTTCCTGTCAATTGCAGCAGAGCTAGCTCTTCTGTGGCTCCTGCCAAGATGGTCCCTGCCTAGCATATTCTCTGCTCTTTTGTTTCTTTAGCATTTACTCCCAAAGACTGACCTGCTTGTAGACAGGGACTTTTATCTCCACACACATCCAGTAGCACCAGGCTTGTGGTTGGCTCAGGGAGTGAGTGACTGTTAGGTGAATGGGGAGGAGAAGGCTCTTGTTCCCAGTAGAATGAGCAAAGGGCTGGTCCCTGCCTCGCATAGTGATTCCTGATGTTTCCACAAGGTGGCACTGCCTCCCCGTGACTGGTACTGACGGTCTGCTGTCTTGTCCTGAGCAGGCTGTGGCTTCTGGAGATGGTGGCTTCTTTTGATCATGTAGTTTTATTGTCTCAGACATTGCTGATTAAAAACCTTGGGGAGATGCTTTGTCTATGCCTTCCCTTTGTCCCCCCAGGCCCACCTCTTGTGACCCTGGTGCTACCTGCTGCCTGGAATAATGCCTTTAATTAAAAAAAAACACACACACAAAGAAACACTAATTAAGACATGTACTCACATGGGCCCAAAGTAAAATAATGGAAAATACGTGTGGAGAAACACATCACCTGCCTCCTTATCCCATGCCCCAGAAATGGCCACTTTCATCTCTAACTTTTTCTTTTTTTTTTTTTTTTTTGGGTCCGGTCGGGTCTGAACTCTGGGCCTGGGCGCTGTCCCTCAGCTCTTCAGCTCAAGGCTAGCGCTCTACCACTTGAGCCACAGCGCCACTTCCGGCTTTTTTCTTTTTGCTTATGTGGTGCTGAGGAATTGAACCCAGGGTCTCAGACATGCAGGGCAAGCGCTCTACCACTGAGCTAACTTCCCAGCCCCTAACTTTTTCTTCTGGCACTTCCTTCCCGGTTTCTATATAGCCTGCTTATAGAACTCTGCATTTATGTATTTAAGATTCTGTCTCTGGCTTTGGGTGTCAGTAGATGAGTGAGTTGGGTCCCCACAAGTCAGTGAGCCTGCTTTTTATTTGCAGTGAGTCTTTTATCTGCTTTGATTTTTGGTTCATGCTGATTCTCTCTTCACCCACATCCTTGTTCCTTCCTCTATTGTTTCCCCTCCCTCCCTCCATCCCTCCCTCTCTTCCTTTTGTGCTGGTATTGCTGGGCATGAACTCAGGGCTTTGGCACTATCCCTAAGCTTTTCTCATTCAATGCTGACACTCTACCACTTGACCCACAACTCCATTTCTGGATTTTTGGTGGGTCATAGGAAATAAGAGTCTCACAGAACTTTCCTGTCTAGGTTGGCTTCTAATTGATATCTCCAGATCTCAGTTTCCTGAGTCGTTAGGTTATAGGTATGTGCCCCCAGTACCTGGCTCTTTGTTTTCTCTTCTTCTTTTTTTTTCTTTCTGCAAATACTTTTACAAAAATCTTACCAACACATTTGTATTTCTCAGTAGCTGTGCATGCTAGATTCCATGTGAGGTTCTTTCACTCTGTCTGGAGGATGCCTCTCTGAGCTACTGGCAGTGCCATGCAGCCTCTGTCCTGAGGTTGAGATCTATGTCTTTCCTTCTAGGCTGGGTCCTGAGCTTCCTGGAGTTTTGAAGATGTTGTTTTTCTCATTTCCTAGCATCACTGGTCATGTCCAAAGCTCAGTGACATTCTGGCTTCTGATTACTTTCTTCTCCCCCATTTAAACAAATTCATAATTTTCCTTTTATCTTGGTATTTCACAATGATGATCTTGGGTGTGAAGCAGATTCTAGTCTCTCCCACTTCTCTCCATGGGTGGTAAGATGTTTCTTTGGACTCTGTGCTTTTCTCATACCATTTTACCACAATTCCCTGGTCCTTTGGTCAGTTGACTTATTTGTACATCAACTCTCATATTAAGTCTTAGTATCTTTAACCTTTTCAACTTTTCACTTCTTTTTGCTTTTTAGTTCCGTTTTCTAGATGACTTCCTCAGCTTTTATCTTCTAACCCCAATCCCTGGATCATATTTTCCTTAAAATACATTTCATTTCTTTCTCTCAGGATAGGTTTTTATTTTGGAAGTACTGGAAATGGAACGTAGGGCTTTGTACAGGCACCTACCACTTCAGCCCCCCCCCTTTTTTTTTGTTGATCGTGGGACTTGAACTCTGGGTCTGGGTGCTGTCACTCAGCTCTTCAGCTCAAGGCTAGTGCTCTATCTATTGAGCTACAGCACCACTTCTGGTTTTCTGGTGATTTATTGGAGATAAGAGTCTCATGGACTTTCTTGCCCGGCCTGGCTTTGAACCTTGATCTCAGATCTCAGCCTCCTGGGTAGCTAAGATTACAGGTATGAGCCACTGGCACCCAGTTTTTTTTTACTTTAGTTATTTGTTGGAGGGAGTCTTGCACTTTTTATGTCTGGTTTAGCCTCAGCCAGCAGTTGCTTTACCCGAGTCTCCCATGTAGCTGAGATTATAGGCTTTTTCCATCACACCTGCCCTCTTCACTTTTTATTTTTAAGCATTTTTCTTTGTTCTGCCCATTGCTTCTATTTGTTCTGATTTCCCCTTAGCTGTTCTGCCCCGTCTTCCAGATAAGATGATGTGGTCAGTTGTCTGGCTTGTAAGGGAGCAACTTAAACAGAAGCACTGAGCTGCCACTCAGCACTGAGAGTGGGGAGAATGTGGATTGGATCCCTTCCCTGGGGGGTGATATGGCTGCCTTGGCTGTTTTATTTATTTATTTATTTATTTTTGTCGGTCGTGGGGCTTGAACTCGGCCTGGGCGCTGTCCCTCAGCTCTTCAGCTCAAGGCTAGCGCTCTACCACTTGAGCTACAGCGCCACTTCCGGTTTTCTGGTGGTTTATTGGAGATAGGAGTCTTACAGTCTCTCCTGCCTGGGCTGGCTTTGAACCGAGATCCTCAGATCTCAGCCTCCTGAGTAGCTAGGATTACAGGTGTGAGTCACCAGCGCCCGGCTGCCTTGGCTGTTTTAAAGAGGGAACTGGCACACTGGTGTCTGGAGATACTTAAAAATTAAAAAAAAATTATTGTCAAAGTGATGTACAGAGGGGTTTCAGTTAAGATACTTTTTAAGAAAGTAAACATTTTCACGGGCATTTGGCTCAGTCTCTTTTCTGCACATGTGAGAGCAGGGTCATTGTCTTGTACTTTTCTGCTTCCTGATGGAGACTAAATCTGATGATGACTGGAATGTAGTAGGTTCTTAGCAAATGCTTGTGGATGATAATATGTCTAATCCATTCATTAAGCACCTACTGTGTACCCTTAGGCACATTTTTGATAATTTTTAAAAAATAGATAGCATTTTATTGTTCTTATTGAGGTGCTGTACAGAGGGATTACCATTTCATAATTCAGATAATGTATGCATTTCTTACTATTGGACAGTGTTACCCCTTCCTTTGTTTTCCTCCAGTATCTCCACCGGCAGAGATACTACCTTTAAATAGCATTAGATGTTTCCAGAGAAAATGCCCTTGGTATCTTTCTGTAGGTATGTAGAAATCATGTAAGGAATTTACAGGAACCTCCTTTTCAGGAAACTTGTGAAACGTTCTACTTCAGTCTTCCCTCCCACACCCATACCCTTCAGGAACAGTTTTCTAATTGCCTATAGAGCCTGCCAGGAGATGGGTGCTGGTGGGGAAGGAGGCTTGACAGGGATGTGGGACAGCGTGGGAGGTCTTTACCTGTGTGGGGCTGGACTTGGGGACTGGTAGAAACTTCTTTTATTCTTCAAGGCCAGCAAATCTGTTTCCCAAGGTTTTCTTGGAGCTTTACCTCTGCCAGTGTCTCCTTTGTATTTCTGTTCCTACCACCATCTGTCTGTCTGTTTGTCCCTTGTCTTGTTCTTGATTAGATGTCAGGAAGGACAGGGCACAGCTGCTTATGTTCAGCCATGTTCAGTCATGTGCATCCATTGACTTGAAAGATTTCTGCCTACTTAATATCAGACAGGCCTCACCCGGTGCACTGCTGGAGGACAGCGACATCACAGGACAAGGGGTCAATGTCAAAGGAACCTGAGTTTTCAGTCCTGCTCTGCCTTGTTATTAGAACTCTGGGCCCTCTGAGGTTGTTTTTCTCCACTGCTCTTAGGGACTGAGGTTCTGCAGGGTGGCTGCTTCAATCTCTGTCATCAGTCCTGGACCCATGTATGTGGTGGACAGCAAGCATACAAGGGTCCTGGCAGTCCAGTTAAGCAGCTGGCCTAGGCCAAGAGATCTGTGCCCATGACTTACCCTAACACATCTGATAGAAAACCATATAAAATATTTAAAAGTTTTCGGCGGTCAAATTATGGGGTGGAATAGATAATGATACTAGATAATGACATAAAACAGGAGTCTCTGTTCAGATCATGAGCAGGTACGGGCTACTTGGGATACAAAGTAAAAAGTAGACTGATGCATACAAGAGAACAGTTAACAGAGGGCATCTTCTGGCTGTAAAAGTTATAGCCAGTTACCACAGATGTTAAGTATATGACTCTTCTGCCAGATCTGTGCTGAGTGGTGGGATTTTCGAGATGGACAACGTTACTGTTGTTAAAGAGCTGTTAAAGAGCTAACCTCTCATTGGAAGTGGGAAACAATGTCAGGACTGATTTTATTGTGCTGGGTTTATTGTGGCACATTTGAGATAACTCAAAAAATCTTCCTGACTTTAAGATGCTGTTTTATCTCTCTCTTTTCCTTTCTCTTCTTAGTGCTGGCCACCATCAACTTACAGTCACAAAACGAGCTGCAGTTACTGACTACCTTTCTCTTAAGCGTGCAGGTAAGTCTGGACCAGGGGACGCTATGAACTCTTAGCACATGAGTGCAGAGATCTTGCATCCAAGCCACTGTGCTCAGGGTTCCTCTGAAAGGAGAGACAGACTCTGAGTCCTCCCAGGCTTTCAGCTTGCAAGAAGAGAAGCTTTGAAACCACTCTGAAGTTTTGCTTTACTGGTTGATGCACTATGGATATGATTTGCTGCCTCTAACATAGGGGTTCTTTTGAAGCTCTTGATTTGAGAACTCCATGAACTTGAGAGTCTGGAGGGAGAAGAGAAACTTCCCTGTTCTTACTAGAAGATATCTGACATTCACCACTAAGGCCTTTCTGGTTATGGAAAGGCTTTTTTTTTGTCATTTACAAGACAGGAGGCCTGGTGCACTCCAAGTTAGGTAGAGATTAATATGAGCTATCAAGGAAACAGATGTTATAGGTACCAAGCTATAGCCTGACTGCAGAGCTGAGGACTTTGCCTCTCACCCTGGCTTCCTGAAGGGTACAAAAGCCCCTAGATCATCTTCACCTGTTGCATGATCCCTCTGGTATCCAGAACAAGAGTAGAGCTGTTGGACTGGTTCTATCAACCATGACCAGATGACTGTGGAGGTGCTGAGCTGGTCACCGGGGCATACCTATGGCCCATTCAGGCAGCCATCTATTCCAGATGATGGAATACACAGTCAGTGTGGCCTCGCACAAGCCACCCAGCCTCTCTATGCTTCTGTCTTTTTTTGGTTAACTAGGGATCATGGGAATCCTGACTCATAGATCTATGACGTGACCATTTGAAAAGCACCTGGCACTGGAGCGGATAGAAGCACTAGCCTGGGGGAGTAGCCATGCCCAGACAGGAGCTATACAGCCCACACCATGAATAATGGGGCTTTAAGATCCTAATTTTCTGGTTCAATTTTGTAAGCTTCTACTTCTGCTAGAACTTGAGGTGGGTCTGCTCTACCACCCCCTAAGGCTTCTGGATGGAGGGAAGCAGCAACTTGAAGGGTGTGCATCTATGATGTGCCTCTCAGATGTGGGGTCATCCTGGACAGAACACTCTTCTGAAGAGGATAGGCAAAACTTGGCTTGAACTGGAGAGCAACCTAGCCAATATAGGAAAGGACTTCTAAAGAATACTGAATTGTAGTTGGGTGCTGGTGGCTCATGCCTGTAATCCTAGCTATTCAGGAGGCTGAGATCTGATGATTGTGGTTTGAAGCCAGCCTGGGTAGGCAAGTCCATGAGATTCTTATCTCCAGTTAATCACCCTAAAATCGGAAGTGGAGCTGTAGCTAAAGTGGTGGAGTATTAGCCTTGAGCAAAAAAAAATCTCAGAGACAGCACCCAGGTTCTGAGTTCAAGTCCTACAACCTCCAAAAACCAAAATCACATGATCTTCTTCATGGTAACATCCATCATGGAAACACCCATTGAAGCCACGTTAAGCCATCAGTCTATGTATCAACTCTAGTAGCTGCTTCTGAACTTCACCTGCAGGTCTAGAGGGCACGCTTGGCACCAATACCTCATCTGTGCCCTACTTCCAAGGCTCTTCAGGCAAGGGGTGTGTGGCCAGAAAAGGGGTGGGGGAAGCAGAGAGACTGGGGTCCCCTCCAGGAAGGGCATTCCTTTTCCCCATTTGGGCAGCCTGCTTGCCTGACTTTCATGTTCTTTACACCAGGGTATTCAGCCCAAAATGGTGACAGAGTACTGGACGGGGTGGTTCGACTCATGGGGAGGCCCACACAATATCCTGGATTCCTCTGGTGAGTGTCTTACATCACCTACCTCCAAAATATATATTGACCTGAGAGGGAAGAAAGAGTGTCAGATTCTTTGATGGTTAGTGTACGGAGCTTCAGGTAGCAAGGCTTCTGGATCATTTGTGCTACCAGTCAGCAATTGCTATCAGTCATTTGTCTTTACATTTGCAGTGAACACAGGACTTTTCTACATTGTTTCTGTATATTTTGTAATACAGAAATGTATTACTATGTAAGATTATTGCAAACATTCAGAAAATACAGAAAAGTCAAAAGGGAAAATAAGACTGTCAGAACCTAGGAGAAACATTTCTGATATACACAGTAAGGCAGTTCTTGGGTATCTCTAGCTATAGACCTATATGCATATGCAGATAGAACTAGAAATAATACAGCTCTAGATCCTGCTGTCTGTTACATGCTGGGTTATTACTGGCACATGTGGACCACTTGCAGTACTACTGAACGCTAACTTTTTTAATTTAAAAATTGTTATTATAAAGGTGATATACAGAGGGTTACAATTACATAAGTCAGGTAAACAGCACATTTCTTTTTGGACAATGTCATCCCTTCCCTTGCTGTCTCCCAGTTTTTCCCTCCCATCCCACCCACAAGTTGTACAATTCTTTCCTTCCTTCCTTCCTTCCTTCCTTCCTTCCTTCCTTCCTTCCTTCCTCCCTCCTTCCTTCCCTCCCTCCCTCTCTCTCTTTCTCTTTCTTTATTGTGATTCAGTGATTACATAATTTCACAAATTTCACAGTATTATGGGATAGTGATGCTTAGTTGAAGTCACAAACACATTCTAACTTTCATGGGGCAAACTGTCTATTGTGGTTTATAAAGATTATGAATTCTATGAGTTTTGACAATAGTTATTTCTTCCACATCGGGTGATATGTACATTCCTTTCCTTTTGCATAGGTGAGCTATTCCCTCTTTCCCATTTCCTATTTCCCTTGTTTCCTCCCTCCTATTGCTGCCATTTAGTTGCTTGGTTCGTTTTGATCAATGTCCAGTGCAGCTGATGGGTCCCATTGTTGTGTTTTTTTTTCCTGATTCTCTCTAGTTCTGTGTCCTTCTCCTAGTTTCCCTCTGGTGTGTGCATATATACCATATATGTGATCAGTAGCATGGGGTTATTTAGTAGTGATTCAACCAGGTGAGTGGAGGTCCTTTGTTTCTCAAGTCTTGTTAACTTTGTCCTATCACCTTATGTTTTGGATCTAACATCCACTTATCAGGGAGACCATGTGCCATTTGTCTCTTTGCTCTTGGCTTACCTCACTCAACATGATTTCTTCTAGCTCCATCCATTTCCCTGCAAATGCCATTATTTTGTCCTTTCTGATGGCTGCATAATATTCCATTGTGTATAGATACCACAATTTTTGGATCCATTCATCTGTGGTGGGACATCTGGGTTGTTTCCATATCTTGGCTATTGTGAACAGTGCTGCAATGGACATGGAGGTGCATGTGTCCTTGTATACTGGTTCCTGTTGTTCAGGATAGATGCCTAGGAGTAGTATGGCTGGGTCATAGGGGAGGTCAATATTTAGTTTTCTGAGGACCCTCCAAACTGCTTTCCAAAGTGGTTGTATAAGTGTGCATTCCCACCAGCAGTGTAATGGGGTTCCTCTTTCTCTGCATCCCCTCCAGCATTTATCATTGGCTGACTTTAGGATATGGGCCATTCTGACTGGGGTAAGGTGGTATCTCAGGGTTGTCTTTATTTGCATTTCCTTCACAACCAGGGATGGTGAACATTTCCTCATGTGTTTCTTTGCCATTTTTATATCTTCTTCTGCTAAGTCTCTCTTTAGTTCCCTTGCCCATTTAGTAATTGGTTTGTTGGGTTTGGGAGGAATTAATTTCTTGAGTTCCCTGTACATACTGGATATTAACCCCTTGTCTGATATATTGCTGGTAAATATTTTCCCCCAATTAATTTGGTTGTCTTTCTAGCTTGGTTGCTATGACTTTAGCTGTGCAGAAACTTTTTATTTTAAGGTAGTCCCATTTGTCAAGCCTCTCCAATTTATTGTGACCCTGGGACTCTGTTCAGGAAGTTCCTGCCTGTGCCTATAAGTTCAAGTGTCTCTACTACTCTGTCCTGCAGTAGTTTCAGAGATTCAGATTTGATGTTAAGGTCTTTAATCCATTTTGAGTTGATGTTAGTGCATGGTGACAGGCTGGGGTCCACTTTTAGTTTTCTACATGTGGCTGCCCAGTTTTCCCAGCACCAGTAGTTGAAGAGGCTGTGCTTCTTCCACTGTATGGCTTTGGCTCCTTTGTCAAATATCAGCCAACTGTAAGCATGTGATTTTATTTCTGGATCTTCTATTCTATTCCATTGATCTTTGGATCTGTTTTTGTGCCAGTACCAGGCTATCTTTGTTATTATGGGTCTGTAGTAGAGTTTGAAGTCTGGCATCAAGATTCCTCCCATGTTGTCATTTTTGCCTAGAATTGTTTTGGCTATTCTAGGTCTTTTGTTGTTCCATATGAATTTTTGGACTGTTTTCAGTATTTCAGAAATGTACGTCATTGGGATTTTAATAGGAATAGCATTGAATTTGTATATTAATTTTGACAGTATTGCCATTTTCACTATATTGTCTGTTTATCCAAGAGCATGGAAGGTCTTTCCATTTCCTGGTGTCCTCTGTAATCTCTTTCTTTAAGTTTTTATAGTTTTTCATTAAATAGTTTTTTATATCTTTTACATCTATTAGGTTAATTCCTAAATATTTCATTTTTTGGCGGGTTATTGTGAATGGGGTTGTTTCTTTTATTTCCTTCTCTGCTTGTACATTGTTGGTACAGGAATGTGACTGATTTTTGTGGGTTGATTTCTGTATCCTGCTACTTTGCCGAAGTGGTTTATAAGTTCTAAGACTTTGGGGATGGAGTTTTTGTGATCATGGAGGTATAGTATCATGTCATCTATGAAAAGGGATAGTTTAACTTCTTCTTTCCCTATGTGGATCCCTTTAATGTCTTTTTCTTGCCTTATTGCTCTGGCTAAAGATTCCAGGACTATATTGAAGAGGAGTGGAGACAGTGGGCATCCTTGCCTTGTTCCTGATTTTAGGAGAATTGGTTGTAGTTTTCCCCCATTAAGTATAATATTGGCTATTGGTCTGTCGTATATGCCTTTTATTGTTTTAAGGAATATTCCTTTCATTCCTATTTTCTCTAGAGCTTTTAACATGAATGAATGTTGTATCTTATCAAAAGCCTTTTCTGCATCAATGGAGATAATCATGTGGTTCTTGACCTTGGATCTGTTGCTGTGTTAGGTTACATTTATTGATTTATGTTAAACCACCCCTGCATCTCTGGGATGAAGACTATTTGGTTGTAGTGTATGATTATTTTTATGTGTTTCTGGATTCTGTTAGTTAGAATTTTGTTAAGGATCTTTGCATCTGTGTTCATCGAGGAGATTGGTCTGTAGTTCTTTTTTTTGTTGGGTCTTTGCCTGTTTTGGGGATGAGTGTGATATTAGTATCGTAGAATCAGTTTGGGATAGCTCCTTCTTTTTTTTATTTCTCTGAAGAGCTTGAGAAGTATTAGTTCTTCTTTAAAGGTCTTATAGACTTCCATTGTGAATCCATCTGGTCCTGGGCTTTTCCTTGTTGGAAGAATTCTGATTGCTTCCTGTATCTCATTGTAAGATATTGGCTTATTTATTTGATTTATTTTTTCTTTGATTAGTTTGGGCAACTTGTATTTCTCTAAAAATGCATCATCCATTTCTGCTAGGTTTTCTTTCTTTAGAGAGTATAAGTTTTGTAAACAGTTCTTTTTAAAAATTAAGTTTTTTATTGTGAAAATACTGTACAAAGGGGTTACAGTTACATGAACAAGATAATGAGTACATTTCTTATCCAGCATTGTTGCCTCCTCCTTTGTTTTTTGTTTGGATGTCTTGGGTATTTGTTGTGATTTTTCTTGTGGCTTCCCTATTCTTGTTATTTGGGTTTCCTTTCTTCTTTTCTTAGTTAATCTATCTATCAATTTTATTTATTTTTTCAAAAAACCAGCCTTTTGTTTTTATTAATTTTATTTATAATTTTCCTATTCTCTATCTCATTAATCTCCACTCTTAATTTGGTTATCTGGCCTCCATCTAGCAACTTTAGGTTCCATTTTTTCAAGTTTTTCTAGCAGTTTTAATTGCAACATGAGATTATTTACTTGGTCTGTCTCTGTTTTCTTCATGTGGGTACTAAGGATGATAAATTTGCCCCTCAGGACAGCTTTTGCTGTGTTCCACAGGCTGAACCCTAACTTTACATTACTGTCTTTTTTTTTTTTTAAAATCAGGTCGTAGGCCTGAACTCTGGGCCTTGGGCGCTGTCCCTCAGCTCTTCAGCTCAAGGCTAACACTCTACCACTTGAGCCACAGTGCCACTTCCGGCTTTTTTTTTCCTGCTTATGTGGTGCTGAGGAGTCAAACCCAGGGCCTCATGCATGCAAGGCAAGCGCTCTACCACTGAGCCACCTTCCCAGCCCCTACATTACTATCTTATGGAATGCAAAGAATCCCATTGTTCTGATGACCGATCCTACAACCATTCATTGATTCAGTCCCTCATTGATGAACCCTTAGGCTGTTTCCCAGGATTTGTTTTAAGTGACTACCAGTTGATTGAGTATCCTTGAAAACCCAGTTTTGCATACCTGTTCTGTTATTTTCCTATGATAAGGGGTAAATTGCTACATCAATGCAATATATAAATAATTGAACACACACACACACACACACACACACACACACACACACACACACACACACACACACACACACACACACACACACACACACACATATATGTGTTGTGTGGGTATTGACCAAACTAATCTCCAGGAAGACTAGCAATTTTTACTTGCCATTATTGAGAACACTTATTTCCTGAAGACTCAACAGAATATTTGTGTGTGTATGTGTGTGTAAGAACCTGGGTGTCTGGAGCTCAGAGTCTGGGCACTGTCTCTTTATTGCTCAAGGCTGCTCTACCACTTGAGCCACAGCTCCAGTTCTGGCTTTTTGATGGTTATTTGGACATATGCGTCTCACTGACTTTCCTGCCTGGGCTGGCTTTGAACCAGGATCTTCAGATTTCAGCATCCTGAGTAGCTAGGATTACTGGTGGTATGAGCCACTGATGCCCAGCTTAAACTAATTTTTAGTATTTTCCAATCTAACAAGTAATTGTTAGATTTTGTGATTTTGTATTTACATGAATAAAATACACAATTTGTTAACTATTTTCTCCTCTGATATTCTTTTCTCCTCATTGGTTCTTTTCCTAGTCAAGAGAGGACGGGGAGTTGGGAAAAACACATCTCTTATCTTTTGGCATTTTCTTCAGTGAGGGTAGCCACTGGACACCATGTCGGCTGGCAGGGGTGGTTGGCACAGGTGCAGGTTGTCCAGGTTATTGGTGGTTAATAGACTTGACTGGAGTGTGAGAACAGGAGGCCACTTTTCTTTTTCTGTAATCTGTAGTTAGGATTTTTTTGTTTTTGATTGTTGATTATGGCTTGAACTCATGGTCTGGGTGCTAGCCCTGAGTTCTTTGTGCTCAGGGCTAGCACTCTACCACTTTGAGCCACAGTGCCACTTCCGGTTTTCTGGTAGTTAATTGGAGGTAAGAGTCTCAAAGACTTTCTTTCCTGGGCTGGCTTGGAACTGTGTTCCTCAGCTCTCAGCTTCCGAAGTAGCTAAGGCATGAGCTACTGGTGTCCAGCTGTAGTTGGGATTTTAATGGAGTCTGCAGGACAGAGTGACAAAGTAGACCTTGAGGAGGGTTGGGAAGGTGAGAAAACCAAAGAGATTCTCAAGGACTTGCCTTGGGTCTGCCTCCCCCTGATGCACACCTCTCCTCTTCCCTCATCCTGAAGAGGTTTTAGAGACAGTGTCTGCCATCATCGATGCCGGCTCCTCCATCAACCTCTACATGTTCCACGGAGGCACCAATTTTGGCTTCATCAATGGAGCCATGCATTTTCATGAATATAAGTCCGATGTCACCAGCTATGGCAAGTATTCCTCCATATCAGTCCTTCTTCATCCTTCTGGCATTAACAGGGCTGGGGTGCTTTTTAGGGTGGACTCTTACTGGGTCTTGAAATCAGGCCCTTGCACCCTTGTGCACTTTTTTATTCTCCACAGCCAGTACTCTCCTACTTGCACCATGCCTCCAGTCTAGTTTTTGTTGAGTAGCTGGAGATAGAATCTTGAGCACTTTTCTTCTTGGGCTGGCTTTGAATCTCAGTCTTCAGGTCTCAGCTTCCTGAGTAGCTAAGATTACAGGCCTGAGTCAATGACCCCTATCAGGGCTAGGGCTTTTAAACAGAGTCCTTCAGGGACAACTTCTAGCACCTTCAGTGTTTTGGCTATGAAGTGCTTGGGAAAAGTACAGGCTTTGTCTGAATCATCTTTGAACTTCCAGAGTAGCTGAGATTACAGCCACTTTGTGTCAGCCTGATAGCCAGCCTCCTACTCTGCTGATAGAGCTCTTTGGAGGAAGGAAGCTGGAACAAGGAAGGGGAGGCACACCACTCCCCCTAGACTGAGAATCTCCAAAGAATAGGGGACTCTCATTGTATCTACTTACCACTAGGAAGTTAGTGTGCTACTGTGGTTATGGGCAGCTTTTATATTCTTCTTTTTTGCTGGGCCTGGGTGCTGTCCCTGAGCTTCTTTCACTCAAGGCTCTACCACTTGAGCCACAACACTCCTCCCAGCTTTTTCTGAGTAGTTTATTGGAGATAAGAGTCTCATGGAGTTTCCTGCCTGGGATGGCTTCAAACCAAGATCTTTAGATCTCAGTAGCTAGGATTATAGGTGTGAGCCACCAGCCTGGCTTATATTCTTTTCTAGTATTTAGTTTAGAATCTTTTGACAGAATGATTCATACTAAATGTGCTTGCCTTCAAAGTTGCTGGGCTGAGGCATTTTCTACCTTCCCTCAGCTCCTCCTCCCCTTTTGCTGTCCCATGCACTATTGTAGGGACAGGAATGACCCTGACAGGGCCATGGGTGTCTTGCAGACTACGATGCTGTGTTGACGGAGGCCGGAGATTACACTGCAAAGTACTCCAAGCTTCGAGATTTCTTCGGCTCCTTCTCAGGTACCAAAAAACAGTGGGCCCAGGCACCTATTTGGGCCCTTGATTTTACTCTGGGACCTTAGTTTTCCCTTCTATCTCACCTGAACTGAAGCTGATCCCTGTTCAAGAATGTCCTAGACTGCTGGGGTTTTGTGGCTCAGTGATAGAGTGCTTGTCTAGAAGGTGCAGGGCCCCTGGCTCCATAACCTGCATCACCCCCCTTCCAGAAAAGAATTTCCTAAAGAAGGAAAGTCTGAAGGACTATTGTCATCAAACTGTGCACCTTGCTAGCTTCACCCTTCCTTCC